CGAGTGAAACAAGTTTCAACAATTCAAGTCACCGGACTTTTTCGCCTTGCTGTTCCATCACCTTCCTCTCAACTTGGGAACTGAGTTAACAGCAAACCAATGTCAGAGTGTGTCACCACCTGTTCCAAAGGCATTCCGTTCCACTTCCCGTCAGACTTTCTGCAATCTCTTTCACTCTACCGACTCTGGACGTTTCTATGTGTAGTTTTAGAGGGCTGCCAAGGTGAAGTCAGCAGGTTGGGAGGAGTTTGAAAGGATGTGCCCTTAAGGTGCACGCGTCACATGAGTAGAGGCAGTCTTGAACAGTGGCTGTGCTCACTTGTGTGGGTGGGTAGAGAACACCTGAAACGCAGGTCACCAACACTCACGTCAGGCAAGGCAACGACAGGTCCTTGCTGGCCACTGTGCATCGTGGAATGTCCTCGGAGTGGTGTCGAGCACGGGCGCGCCTGCACCTCGGTAAAGCTAGAAGCCTTGGTTAACGCCAGGTGGAAGGCTGAACTGAGGGGAAGGTTTGCGTAGCCGGCCATCAGCGGCGACTTGGGATGCGGGGCTTTGCATCCGGGGATGGAAAGGAGTTTCCCCACAAAAGAACTTGCAAGTTGCCACAGCCGGGGGGGAGCCACAAAGAAAGAAGCGACCCTGGCAAAGAGCGGAACTTCAGTCCAATTCTGACCACGCTGGAATTTTTAAGCTGTCACCTAGCCTATCAGGAGTTGCAAAACATTGTTCAAACACCTTCAAATCTGCGGACCCATCACCTTTCCTGTCAAGGTCTAATGCGTGTAAAGTGGGGCTTCATACTGATCCTAGCTCTTGCGAGCAACCATCTAAGTGTGTATCGCCACAGTCACAGCGTCCCACTGAGGGCTGTGGTGTGATCCCCGTCGAGGGGCGCGGCGTGTGCATAGACGCAGATCCTGGGGGGTTTCTTTCCACCTCGGAACTTCGTTTGATCCTCACAGGCTTGACTGTTCTGCTCGATACCACTGATTATATGCCGCAGGGCTTACTGAGATCAACTCCAGTTTGGAATCTCACGCATGTGCATATCACATTCATTCAGCTAGGTAATCAAGGCCGGGCGCATACATGTATAGGTCGATCATGTTCACTACATTGCTTTGCCTGCCTTTCACCGGGACGCCATGAACTACCAGTGGATCCCTCAGACTTCACCGACGACGAGTACCACGACACCCTACGGACACGGCTCCTTCGGCTCCTGATGGATCGATGCCAACAATGCCATTTCAAATCCCTCAGCTTCAACCGCATATGAGCCACTCACCTCTTCAGTACACCTCGACTTTGACGCCTACCAGTTTGCCACCTCAGCTGGGATCTATGCCTACTACCCACCTCGTACAGCTCCCACCTACGATCCAATCCATTCCCACATCGACTCAGTTGCATCCCTTTCAACAGCCGACCCCACTCCAACTTGGGGTTTACCAGCCATGCTTGTTACACCATCACCCCACTCACCCATTTGGCCACAAGCTATCCCCCCACAAGCTGCTGCACCTACAGGCTCCCCTATTGAGCGTTCTCAGCCAATACCAGCCCACCACGGGAACGAGCGCCGACCCCGGCCCACTGTGTGTGTCACCACCTGTTCCAAAGGCATTCCGTTCCACTTCCCGTCAGACTTTCTGCAATCTCTTTCACTCTACCGACTCTGGACGTTTCTATGTACAGTTTTAGAGGGCTGCCAAGGTGAAGTCAGCAGGTTGGGAGGAGTTTGAAAGGATGTGCCCTTAAGGTGCACGCGTCACATGAGTAGAGGCAGTCTTGAACAGTGGCTGTGCTCACTTGTGCGGGTGGGTAGAGAACACCTGAAACGCAGGTCATGAGCCCAACACTCACGTCAGGCAAGGCAACGGCAGGTCCTTGCTGGCCACTGTGCATCGTGGAATGTCCTTGGAGTGGTGTCGAGCACGGGCGCGCCTGCACCTCGGTAAAGCTAGAAGCCTTGGTTAACGCCAGGTGGAAGGCTGAACTGAGGGCAAGGTTTGCGTAGCCGGCCCACCACCGGGGACTTGGGATGCGGGGCTTTGCATCCGGGGATGGAAAGGAGTCTCCCCACAAAAGAACTTGCAAGTTGCCACAGCCGGGGGGGAGCCACAAAGAAAGAAGCGACCCTGGCAAAGAGCGGAACTTCAGTCCAATTTTGACCACGCTGGAATTTTTAAGCTGTCACCTAGCCTATCAGGAGTTGCAAAACATTGTCAAAACCCCTTCAAATCTGCGGACCCATCACCTTTCCTTTTGCGTTTTTTTCCGTCAAGGTCTAATGCGTGTAAAGTGGGACTTCATACTGATCCTAGCCCTTGCGAGCAACCATCTAAGTGTGTGTTGCGTGTCCTGACTTGGTTATCTCTGGCAGAATTGATCCTGGGACTCCAAAGAAGCTCTCAAAACCATTCCGGTCGTACAGTTGAGTCCATCTCGGTGGTTGCTCAGGATGTTTGAGGTCATTTCCATGTTGGGAGATGAGCGTGTTTCATACCTGAGCCAAATTTCTTGTCCTGGAGCGGTCTAACCCTTGCCATTGCCAATGGCAAGTTCAAGCCCTGCTGGCCTGCAGGGTGGTTCCCTGGAAGAAGAGCCACGAGCAAAGGTGGAAGCAAGTGGTCCGGAGGCAAGGGCAAACAGACACAGACGCCGGAGACACGATCGAAACACAACCCTTAAGATGGTTGGAGTCAACTGGACAGGCCAAGACAGCAGCAAGCAAGGCGAGTGACCTGTGGGTTTCATGTGGAAACAGTCTTTTTTGGGTGGCATTGACTTTCATCACATCACTTGCCACCTTTGGCCAGGTGGGCATCAACCTTTCAGTCAAGTGGATGAAGAATCCGCTCCCAGTCAATGAGGCCCAATCGGCCTCATGCTTGTGGAGAGTCTTGGAAGTTCCAAAAAGCAAGGGAGACGGAGACAAAGATTCATGAAGACCAGCAAATATTCACATTCAGTTGTGTACGCTTGTATGGAGAGCCCCGTGGCTAAATGAGTGGGTCATCAGACGTCAAAATCCCGTGCTTCAGCTGCGATCATGATCGACCAGTCTCAAATTCATGAACTTACTCATAGTCATAGTGTCCAGACTTGTCATTCATGGACTTCTGACAGGCCGCAATTGCACATATGACGCTATGACTGCATGTACTGGTTCTACATTAGTATTAGTAGTGCCTGGTGGGGTGCTTACGCGCTGCTAGGTGCGTGACGCCAACGTATGTTTTGAAGTGAAAAATTCGTCCTTTCATCGGACTGGGTGCTAGGGGCCTAGTTGGGAGCATTTGGGCGCTAGGACTTAGGAAAGTTCCCCGTGTCAATGCCTCAATCCCTCAGAGACTGGGCATGTCTGTGCACCTTCTCGGATTAGCTATGAACTAGTTGTGGGCAGTGTTGTGGCCATAAATGTCCGACCTCAGTGGCCCGAAACATGGTAACCTAGTCGAGCTGTGCCTTTTGCTAGGCAATTGCGGCAATCCCACGGATTCAGGACAGCTTGACTTCTGCTCCTTTGGTTGTCGGGGTTGTGAACTCGCTTCAACGAAGCTTGGGCTGTTCCAGGAGTACTTGGGCTTGTCGCGGCCAATTGAGCGGGTCACACCCTTATGGCTGACTGAGCACATAGCGTAGGTGAAGCCGCAAGACCTTGCAAGTTGCCAGGTCAAGACGTATGACCTTGCGCCCTCCAACAGGGCACTGGTAGAGGATACAGCATTGCACGCGCTGACTTGTCCAACCATTTCCACACTGGCGTCATGCATGCGGTTCCTTGCAGGAGCTGGTGCGGCAGTCTAGCCAGGTAGGTGGAAGATACTCCGTAAAAGAGCTTGTGATTGGCATCGGCAACAAGGAGCAGCAGGGTGCAAAACTGCCATGAAGGCATGTCGGGTGCGGAGAGGAATTTGCAACTTGTCAAGCTGGGACATGTATGATCCACGGTCTTACTTCTTGCTTGCAAAAGACTAAGCTGCCAGTTAGTGTGTTAGCGACCAGCCAAGTCAACATGGACGCAGGAGCTCCCGTTTGTCGACATGGATTGGCTTCGGGGAATCGCCGATGACTTCAAAGGCCTGTCTCCAAAGTGCACATCTCCTGTCTTTGGGCTATGGGGAAACCATTGGGGAGTTGGCTCCCGGCTTCGCTGCCTGTTTTGCCCCAAAACCGCCACCCCAAGCAAAGCCGGATATTCTTGTTCCTAGTAGCGATGCCAGGAGCCCCTAGTAGCGTCCTTGCTCCTAGTAGCGATGCCCTTTGTTACTAGTAGCTTCTTGCTCCTAGTAACTAGGCCAGGAGCCCCTAGTAGCTTCAAAGTGGATTTTGCTCATATCTTTCCACAGATTTTGCATTTGGCTTCGCAGCTTTGCGTTTGCCAGCCTTTAATGCGAGATTCATTTGGACGCAACACGCTGGTCCCAAATGAGTGTTGGGACTTTACCGGTTCTGCAAAAACACAGGAGAAAGGATATTACCGCCAAAAGACAAGTGTACAGTTGGCTGTGGTGAGGCAAAAGTTGTTGTGGAGGAAAGTCTTGTTAAGGCATGCACTCCAGGCAAGTGAGAGATAGGATTTGCCAAGAGAAGGCTTTTTCATCCCGTCCTGCGCGGCACGGCACGGACATAATATACAGCAGTGTTTAACCCCCTATGCATCTTTATATTGTTTGCGAAGGTCGCGGTCCTGCAACACTTCTGTACATAAATTATTGTGCATATATATAATATTGTAAGACTTTATATTTATATGTACTTTTTCATATTCAAAGTTCTATACAAGTTCTAGTGTTCGAGCCACAGTATCGAGCCACAGTATGCATGTGGCAAAGCGGCAAGAGTCCGTCGCCTATTCCATGAGGAATGTGCGTAAAGCTGCTAGCGCCGACATGCAAGGATGCACATGAATTGCTCAAATGCACATGAACACGTTGATACCATGGCCTGCTCAAATGCACATGAACTGCTTTTCACTGGAGCTGAGCACAAGAGCTATACCTATATAACTACATTCTTAAGTCAAGTGTCCGCTGGCTGAGTTGTGGCCTAAAAACATGTGGTGTTTGTTTGACAACTCCCATCCCACTGGTGAGCAGTATGTTGGCTTACACCATGACCTCATTGAAAGCATTCAGCGAAACGCACGTTGAGTGGCTTTGTCCAGTTGAGCCCAGAAGCAGCCAATTCAACATATTCAACGAACGACGGAGAGGCATAGCTTTGTTTGCAAATCTGAGAAGCCCTTGTGAGGTTTGAATGTTTTGATGTTGATACTCATTTTTGACAGATCTCAAGCCTTAGTTTGCTCGCAATACGCAGAACAATTTCTAGATTCACACAAAATCGGGACTTGACTGGGAATCGGCTGGAGTCTGGAGCCTCCCTGGCAACTTGTTTCGCTTTTTTGGCGGGTGGGGTGGGAGGCTTATGATATATAGTTATATATATAAACAGTTTGTGCCACCATCCAAGCTCGCTAAGGGTGTGAAGGCAGCATAAAGCAAAACGTAGTACTGTATACCAACGTGTTCCTTCCAGAGCCAGCGCCAAGCCACAAGTCACAACGGAGCCTTCTGGCACCTTTGCGCATACATTTTTGACCTCATTTAGCTGTGTTGCAGATTCCAACCCTGTGATTGTGCGCCAAGACAAAAGGTCGCAGTTTGGGGATGTTTTGGAAGTAGATTTGATTTGGAGGACAGTTTCTGCATAGTGCTTTCACACTATGTGCAGGCGCCCTGCACATAGCCATTGGCAACGAGCCCGACCGCAGCGGTGTCCATGCAGTGAACGTCTTAGCATGGCGTGCCAAGTGTGAGCTTTGGTAAAAGGATCAAGGTGGGCAAGCCTAGGAGCCCCCGCGGAACAGCAGCAGCTGTCACTCCAGCTCTTTCATTGTCAACAAGTGAACAAGACTCGAACCTTTCACTTGCCGAGCTGCCCAGGACAGAGTTCTTGATGTTCTCAAGGCACTCAAAGCAGAGATCCCGGAAGCTCAGGCATCGTCAAGCTGAGCAGAAAACAGATGCAGTCTTTAAGATTCATGACCTGCTATGAGCCAGAATTGTGGAAACCACATTAGAGATCATTAGAGTGTTCATACTTTTTGGGGTGCTGGGTTCATGTGCCTCAAAATCCTGTGGTCTCAAGATTTCGCAAGTCTCAAATTGATTATAATGTGAACAATGCTTTCAAGCTTGGCACTTCTGCAAGTATATACTGTATATTGTTTTGCCCTGAGGTCACTGTGCCCTTCGCGTATTCAATCATGCATAGAAGTCACCCTGTAGAGAAGTCCAAGCTGGAGAAGGAATTCGTGGACGAGTGCCTGGCTCGGACCACTTGTGTATTGACACTGGTGGAAACAGTCACATGGCCTGGAGGCCTAGTGAGGAATTCCAATGCTTGTTCTTGATTCCATCCTCACGCCTGCAAGGTACAAACATGTCCTCCCGCTCCTGGACTACTTTACCATCAATATCTACCCTTTCCTTAGTTCTGGAACCAAAGGGGTGGCGATGTCGAACCTGACTGGCCCCGAGATGAACTTTCTGAACGACCAAATCTCCGCTTTGCGTAGCTTGGCCGGAGCATGGAGCCATTCCACATTTTCACACCTTTTGCTTGCTGTTTGCAAGGTATAGCTTTGGACCGTGACTTCCCTCACAACAATCTGCCCTTGGCAATTGGAGCCTTGTTCAGATTATTTTCAATAATATCTAATAATACTAATAATAACTAATTAAAGTTATATATATATAAAGTTTTAAAGTATAGATGTTTTTTTAGTACGTCGTGTCGGCAAATCCAACCACCATGCTTCTGGCGGGCGCTCAAGCCCACATGTCCCAAGAAGCTGCGTGTCAGGAGAGACTGGGTGGCCGTCTTGTGGTGCTGCCCGTGCCTTCCCGTATTCGTTTGCCACTTTGCCATATGCAGAGACATTCCTCAAGAATGTAGCACAGTGGATTCTGGGCTGCAAGACCACATGAAACGCCTTGAGAGTTTAACATTTGCATTCAAAACTCAGCAGAATTCAGCGGCATTTTTGGCCAAGCTTCGAGCCCCGCTAGGATGGAGTCCAGTTTATCAGATGGCCGAATCATCTCTGGACAGCTTTTCACGGCCTTTGATGAAGAAACGAAAGGGACCAGCAACTTGGCGGCAGGGGCCCGCCTCAAACACAGCAGACGAAATTATGGAATCCAGAAAAGAGAACTGCAGTGGGAGAAGTCAAGGCCTTTCTTCCTGAGGACCCAGCGAGCGTTATTATGGAATCCTGACCTCCAAGGGTGAGGTGAAAAATGCATACTCATGTGTGAGCAATGCTACTGAGACTCGGATTGAAGCCAAACACTGGTGCGAGAAAAGCAAGTGTCCAAGGTTTTCCTGGTTTCAGCTTGACGCAACACACACACACACACTTGGACAGACACGCGCATATCCCTGTGCAGCCGAAAAGATACAAATTGATACAAGTTGTACTACTTTCTAAATGTAGTAGTATATATAGGTCTACGGTCTACTGTAATTGATTCTCAAGTTATTGGCAAGAAGCTGTGCCGATTGGGTAGAAGGGATTAGGGCAGGATTGTTGTGCATTCACTTTCTTGCTATCTTCGACTCCGTATGACACGCCGTGGGGATGTTTGAGAGCTGAGGAGCTTTCGCAGGCATGGCTGGAGGAGCTGTATCCAGACTGCGAAAGCCACTCGGCTTCTGAAACTGGATAGACGGTGATAGATCCGTTCAGCCTATCTGCGGCTATGAAAGGTGATTTGGATTGGATGGTGAAGAATTTTGACAACCCGTTTTTGACGGAGAAGTTTGCGACCTGACGGCAAATATAGGGTTTGTTCTGGATAGTCAATTCCTCACATCTTTTTGAGATGCATTTCACCAAGCCCCACTGAAATGCAAAAGAGGGATGTGATGCTTGCGGACCTGAGGCAAACAGAGATGGGCGCTTACATTTGCACCAGTTTCCGATGTTGAATTGTCAGATTGTTTAGTCCTGTTTGCCAGCTCAGTGCCGCTGCTGTAGGGTGTCAACTTGGCTTGGCCTTGTTTGGTTTCAGGAAATGGACGGGTCCTTGTGCTCCTTCCAGCAGTACCTCTACGATCGCTGGGCTTCCTGCCCACCCGTCTCCAGAATACCCGGGGACTTTCTTCCTGTCGAAGGGTGCCCTGACTGAATGGCAGGATGTGTTCTCACAAGAAATTCTTGAATCGTCTTGAATTGTTTGACTCCGGGTCTCCTGGTGTGCTGTATGTGCTTTGCTTACGAGGCACATGGTATACGGGAAGCGGACGGCACAGACAAAGTGCTGGAGCCAGCGATTGGCTGACAAGCCGCTTGTTGGAATTGCTGCCGGTTGGGCTGGATAATACTATATATAGGTAGTTGCTAGTTGCTGGCTTGCCTCCAATGATGGCACAGAAATTGCCGCGTAGCCTTCTGTGGCCCCATGCAGCTTCTGCAATGTGAATCCCTCGTTGCCTGACAGGTACTCCGACCGTGGGGCTGTCAACAAGCCAAATGTGTCGCATTTAACCGACCAGCACGCAAAAGAGGTCAGGGGACCTGCATATAACAGTAATTTGATGTGTTGAGTTTGTATGAAGATGTGGCCGCTGTCTGAGTTTGAGTCAAATCGGGTCACCCTTTGCTTGCCAACCACACATATGGGACTCAAGGTGCCCTGAGCCCCCATGCCAAAAGTGAACCGGCAGGCGCCTTCCAGCAAGAGCACGTCGCAATCCTCTGAAGTGAACCCACTTCCAGATCGCTTTGTGCCTCGGATGTTCTCGGTTCCTGAGTGTTTGTAGTTACTTCACAATCATCGAACAATTTTCTCTAAGTAAGTATCATTGGCCAATGTTCTTCGAAGTTGTACACTATCCTTTGCAGTTGCTCAGGTTGGTGAGGGTGTGGAGCCTTCAGTGGTGACAAGACCCAGAACACTCCCAGTTCTTGGCCTTGATAGAAGGAGGGCTTGTGAAGTGATGTTTGAGGCTCTGACTTATGCGGAAAACCAAGCATTGAACATTTTAAAGTCCTGTTCTTTGAGGTTTATTGGATCAACTTGGAGCAGTCCAAGGATCGGAGAGTGGCAATGGAGAACATGTTTGCATCTGTGAGCCTGCGCCCCAGTGTGTCTTCCTAGCTTCGAAGGACAGCTGGCTGTAGTTAGTTGGATTCTATGCGGTAGTGTCAGATAACATTGCAAGGGCCAAAAGGTCTCGGGGCCTGGTTGGAGGCCATGCCATCGCTAGTAGGTTGGAGGCCATTCCTATTACAAGGTGAGCTCTTAAGAATCAAGAATGCAACATACATGATGTCAGAACGTCGGACCTGCAGTCGAAGCAGAAGGAGGTTGTCCTGAGCCCCGCCTGAGTTTCCCAGCATCATCCAAGGCAAACAGTTGCCAACCAGCTTGACGCTGCAAGTGATGCGGGTGCCGGGAGTGACCGTCCATGAAGTAAAGGCAGGAAGTGCCATGTTCTGAAGTGACTGCTTTGTGCAAGCTGCATATTCCACTTGCTTCAACCATGCTTGAAGGAGTTGCAGGGCAGAGGTGCCATTGCGGTCGAGGCAAAACTGATTGATGCCTGCGAAGACGCCTGCCCTGAGCATCATTCGAGGCCTTGAGCTTCTAAACATGTCGGATGCGGTTCAATGTGGTTCAATCATTTGGACTGCCCTGCATTTTTGTATGTTTACATTGAACCTCCCTGCTACCGTTGACGTTCTGTAGTCTTGAGCCGGAGGGGGGAGTTGCTGTACACAGAGATGGCGTGCAGCCTTTCTCACCTGCGAGCCATGGAGTATGCTTTAGCAGGTGCGCTGGTTTCCTCCATCAGTTGCTGGTGTTTGGCAAGATTCGGGGCTGAATTGAACAGAGCCACAGTCAGCACATCAAAGTAGAGCAATCTGCCAATCTGCCAGACCTTTGAAGCATGCACACGCAGGAAATGCCTCCTTGGCCCTTATAATGGAGGACAGGTTTTGTATCCTCTTGCCCTGATGTTCAACATGCACAAGGTCATGTGCTGCAATTTGACCGCTCTTTTTGAAGCGTGCTATGATATATATATATATCTATAGAGGTGTTTTTTGCTGCGTTGATGTGCTTAGAAGAGGTTTGCCTGCTCGGCAGGATGACATTGAAATCTATCCGGAGTTTGGCACCGATTTAGAAAGATTGCTCACTGATGCTCCAACTGGCAGTTCCCTCAGCACAATGGGTTTGGAGGGCAGTTCCCGAGCTTTTCCAAAAAACGTGTTTCATGTCCTGTTGTTAGGATGGAGTGCTTTGCAGATGTCTTCTGTGAGCACGAAGGCCGCTGACGACACCACTCAACAGAATAAATGCGCTGACCGTTTGAGCATGAATATGTGGCTATGTGTGTTGATACAGGACGACCTACCCTTCATTTTACGATTTGCTGCAAATATATAATAGCAGCAGCAATTGAATCCATGCATATCCATGCCAATGCGGTTTTTGATAGGGCATCCTACAGCTTGCCAGCGCTGGAGCAGTCTTTCAGCCACGCGAGCGGCAATTCTACGGCACAGGGCAACTTGGCTTTGCTAATTGTAACAATGCTAGTAGCGTCCTTTCTCCTAGTAGCGATGCCAGGAGCCCCTAGTAGCGTCCTTGCTCCTAGTAGCGATGCCAGGAGCCCCTAGTAGCGTTCTTGTTCCTAGTAGCGAGGCCAGGGGCCCCTAATTGCATCACGTCATCACGTTTTGAAAGCGTCAATGATTGCGTCAACACGTCAGACAAGGTCTTACATCATCAACAGGCCGAACCCTAAGCACACCATTCATGAGTGGAAGACTACAGAATGGACAGTGCTGTTGCTTATGACCCTCAGGTTTGGAATGTTGCATTTACGGGCGCAATACGTGACTTGGCCAGAGCGATCAAGCTGGTGACGCTAGCACAGTCATGGTTTCTCCGCACCTTGTGCTCAGGCAGCTATGCAATTCCAACGAAAATCATGGTTGCCTGGTGCAGGGTCGCTGCAGGTCGTTGACAGCTCAGTTGCATGTACTGCTAAGCTGCTTGTGGGACACAGCTGGGCAGGCAGAGGGTGTAATTTATGATGCTCTACCCGAAGGCCAGCCCAACTTGGGCAACGGATTCTTCATGCTCTCAATTTCCTTGGCACCTTTACTCCATATGATCTCCATGCTCCTCCTTGCTGTTGCACAGGCAGCGTTCACACAAGCACGCACTTCTACTTCAATGTCATCGACTTTCCAACGACGGTGCATATCATGAGCAACTCCTCAGAGTGGTATGCGGTATCAAGCGCTACTTGGTTTGCTTCTGATGGCTGTTGATAAATCATGATATATCCAGTTATCAAATTTTTTCGACCCACTGCAAGGTCGCTTGGCAAAGAAACTTTGTCCACCGACACCGGGGCCGTTTGCTCCCTGCGACGCCTACCTCAACAATCCCAGAACGGCTTGTGAGGTGGCTGTAGTTGCACTTCATACTCCACATGTTGGCTGTAGTATGGCAGTATGTGTCGCTAGCACAGCTGGTGAGCTAAGGTCATCCTTCTTGGCGATGACCACCTTAGTTTGCAGAAACAACACTGGCTTTGATGGCGAGAGCCGTTCAATCGCAGCTTCTATCCGCGCGATGGCGCCCTACAACTTTTCGTGGGCCGTGTATGTCTTCCAGCTGCACCGTGCTATCTGATTATCTCACAACCCACACACACATCACATACATATCATATTTAAACAAAAGAACATTTATATACATACATATATATATATTATATAGCATATATTTATATAATATATAACATATATATATATATATATTTTATAACATATATATATATATACAATGCAGTAGCCGTCATGAGTCTTTGAAGATGTCTCCACCCAGGTGATTGTCTCAGACGGATCGGAGGAAGGCAAGTGCCCAGGCCTTGAAAGCTTTCGGGAGCTACGCCAGCCAAACGTGAGAATGCTGTACAGACCTAGCCTCAGATTGCCTCGGTGACTGTGCACTTGAAAGACAGTGGAAGTTTTTGCCGAATGAGGAGTGTCAGGAGGTCGCTTCTCCAAGTGGGTGACCCGACCAAACTTTAGCCTTTTGATATTTTTGACGCTCTGGTGTTTTTTGCCTGACACATTTTTGCTCCTTTGGAGGTTTGACACCTCGTCATCTATAGCAAAGCGCATGCATTCGAGTTGTGAATCAGTGAAGGTCTACTACACTGAAGATGTAGAGCAGTTCGCAAACCATGACTTCCTCATGGTTTTTGATGCAGTTGCTTGCCAATCAGCAGGGTGTTCGTATGTGTTCGTGCTTCAATGGATCAATGTGGTTCACGTGGCCCAGCTACCAATCACACATTTGGCAAGACTACCGGAGAATATGTGAGAATACTGGGCTGAGCATACCACACATCAACGGGAGACTGCACAGCCCACCAGGGCCATTGATTCCGAGGACATGGGCCTCTCAACCTTTCCTTGGGCAGAATACTTCCGGCGCTACGAAGACTATGCCTCAAAGTGGGGCATAGCACCAGTGACTGGTGCTGACACTTGGCGTGGTTACACTTTTTGAGTCGTCGGTGTATGTTTCGCGTGTGTGTTCGATGATGCTGCCTGGAAGACTGTTGAAGCCTTTAGCGTTGTGGGTGCTTCGGTTTTGGTGGCATTCTGCAGTTGTCTGGATCATGGCAGGTCCGGAATCGATCACCCTTCTATCCTTTGAAGGCTGAGTGGTGGACCAAGTGCAACAGGAGCAGGACCTGCAGACCAATCTGCCCGCAGACTATGTGACCAAATCAAGGGTTTCGGTATTGGTCCATTGGTTCCTGGAACAATGTTCTTTTCTTAGAATTGGCCTTTAAATTGCTTTTCTTTAGGATCCGCTTTGTCGAGTCTGATTTGGTGGAGCAATGGCAGCTTCGCTGCATGTGAAGCCTGCGAACAGCTCGAACGAAGCGAAATTCGCAACCAATCTTCTACAGCATTACAGCTTAGTTGACAATTTTATCAGCCCAGCTTCAAAACAGAATGACATCATGTCACGGTGGGATGTGGCGGGTGACTAGGTTCGCAATGCTGACAGGGAGCTTTGCCACCTGGCTCCTCGGCTTTCTTCACCTTTCCCTGGCTCTTGGACCAAAGAGCCGAGGTTTTGGCTTTGTTCCTCGACACTATTTTTTTACAAGGGGGGTAGGCACTAGTAAGCAGCAAGAACGATACTAGGGCTTTGGACACAAGAGCTCAGGCTTCCTTGGAAGAACTCCATTTGAAAGCCTTTGGTTCCTAGATTTGGGGGGACACGAAAGACATTCGTTTCCACTTGGTGGCAGGTATCTACGCAAAGTGGTCCGCTGCTCAGCAGGGTCCAAAGAACTCCAAAGGTTCCGTCCTGACAACTCACAGAAGCAAGTGATAAACTTGTGGCCTGCGTGGGGGCAGCACTTCATGAGAAAGTAGTTAATTACTGTAGTTAGTTAGTTAGTTAGTTGGTCTAGTTATAGGGGATCACACTCAGATGGCATTTGGCGCATAGAACAAACTGATGGAAACAGGCTCCCAAAACCTCTTACCGGAGAGCAGGGTTTGATGCCATCAATGTGTGCAGCTGGAACGGTGTCTCATCTGCTATTTGTTCGTGGCAGTTCGCATCTCCACTCGTGGGTATCATTGAGGTTTGATGCATTTTGTGCAAGCGGATTGTAACAAAAAAATACCTGGATGTCATTTGTTTGTTCTTGGTTTTGGCTGGGTTTGCTAGATGGCATCTGAAATGCAAAAACCAAGAAACAGATTGCATTCCAAAGGCATTTTGCGAATGCCATTTGAGTGTGATCCCCTATAGTTAGTTTAGTCAAGTTTAGTCTAAAGTTTAGTTAGTTTAGTTTAGTTAGCTTAGTTAGTTGGTTTAGTTAGTTCAGTGTAGTTCGTTTAGTTAGTTGGTTAGTTAGTTAGTTTAGCTAGTTAGTTTAGCTAGTTAGTTTAGTTAGTTTTGTTTTGTTTGTTGTTTTGTTTTGCTTCTTTTTGTTTTGTTGCTTGCTTGCTTGCGTGCGTGCCTGCCTGCCTGCCTGCCTGCCCGCCTGCCTGCCTGCCTGCTTGTTTGTTTGTTTGTTTGTTGGTGTGTTCGATGCACAATGTTGTTGCATGCATCCTTGTTTATATAGAGTCTCCAATCTTCTGCATTTTTGCAGGTTGAGACAGGTATCATCTTGGAGCAGCGAACCTTGGGCGTTGACTGGGGCGTGGACTCCACATGGTGTGGAGCTGCTGCTGAATGGTCCAACCGGGAGGTGCTGCTGAACCAGAAGAAACAAGCATTTTTGTGTGACACATTTCTACGAAACAGCAACCAGGCTGGCTGCTTGCTGATCCCTATCGACATGTACCATGGGGACACCAAAAGCCTTCAACAGGAGTTTTGGGCAAGCAGAGAGCAACAGTGAAGCATGACATCGGAATTGGTCACTTTGTGCAGCACGGTTTGTGTCAGGATGTTGTTTTTCACCAGAATGGGGAGCACCTGACCAACCTATGGTGCAGTTCCAAGCAATTGGGCGAGAAATCCGTAAACGAAGGTAGGCACATGAAAGCAACAACTATGCATGATGATCAATGATGCAGTGCGCCTGATCTGTTTCCTTGGTTCAAGCTGGGAGTAAAAACACCCTTTTTCCCTGCGAGCCGAGAATGGCTTCTATTCCATTTGCCTCGATCATATTTGGATCTTTTTGGCTGTTGGCTGTGGCCACCTGCCAGGAATGTGAAGACGCGACGGCCACTGCATCATGGGTGCAGATGAAGGTGGACAAACGCATTAGATCTAAAGCTAGCAGCCGCTCAGAGGCACCTCATTTCAATGTTTTCAAGTGATTTGGAGTGGACCGCATGAGAGCAGTGGCAGGCTCACTGGGAAGTGGGAGACGGTGGAATGAATTGAAAAACTGTGAAACTGTTGGGAACTGTTGGGTCAGTGTTTGTTTCGGAGTTACCGAGGCTACTTCTGGACAAAAAGAGGTAGGGATTCCTCTACGAGCAACTCCATAGACTTTGAAGTGCCCATCGATTTCTCCAAAAGACCCACCTGGACCTTCAACAATACCAATGACGAACAGGTGAGGCATTCGCCTCTTATTGACGATGAGAAGAACATTTACCTGATGACTACGACCAAGCTGCGCAAGTTCAGCAAACATGGGCATCTCCAATGGACCTTCACGCAGGAAGACAGCATGACCACTTCTCCCACAATGCATGACAACAAGATCTACTTGCTCGCTCAGCGTGTGGGTGGTGGTAATATTGTGGCTTATGCCCTCAACATGACAGATGCCAGTGTGATTTGGAAAGTGGACATGCCGGGCCGATCACGTGGACCAGACTCTCAGTCTCTCCTGCTTGTGAAGAATAGACTCATTCTGCCAGGGCAAATCGACTCTCCAAAAGGTGACAATGGATTTGTGGCAATCAATGCGTCCAATGGTGATTACTTGTGGGAGTACGCCACTGACGAGATCATTTGGAACTCCTCCCCATGTGCTGCTGATGATACAATACTTTTTTCATCTAGCTGCGGCACCGTCTTCCGAATTTCCCTTGATGGAAAGCTCCTGTGGAAGGCAGGCACGCAGTATGGTGGCAAGAGGATGTGTGGCACAGGTGGTGGTTCTCTTGGGCCCAATGATGTTTTCTACAGCGAGTACTCAGATGACAGCGGAGGCCACATCGTGGCCCACAGGCTTAGCGATGGAGAGAAGTTGTGGCAGAGAGATTTCGACCATAAGCACCAGGGGATGCAATACCCGTCAATTGGTCGTTTGGGCACAGATGGGCCATTAGCAGTGGTTGCTGCTCTTGGAGAAAACCCAGGGATGCCTCAGCCTCTTCTCGGAGGGTTTCGTGAGAAGTATTTTTCAGACGCATCATACCGGAAAGAACTTGGGGCGGAGCCAAAAGCTAACTTCATCATTGCGTTGAATGCAGAAACAGGGGAGACAATATGGGAGTGGGAGGAAGAGCTGTGGGACCATTTCGGAGCTGCAGGTGACGAGGAAGGCTTCATCGAGCGTTTGATCAAGCACAATATTGAGAACCCAGTTTGCTTGCCGGACCTCCAAGGTATCCCAGTTGTCAACTCCTTGGATGGGTCAGTTTTTGCTTCCAGTGGCCATGGAGGCAATCTGACCGTGATACGGGACGACAACAAGGATGGAATTATTGACACAAGTGAGGTGAGGAGTTTTGCTCCCGGCATTTGCTTCCTCAACTCGCCGTCAATGGCGCCAGGGATGTTGGTCGTGTCGCCCTGCTGGGGCCCCACCTATGTTTGGCTTAGTTAATCGACCGCATGAAGCAGCCACATATGCTGGCTAGCCCTGGTAGCGGGCACCTCTATTGGATGCCTGCATGTTCCATAACCTGCTTTCCCGCATTGGGAACGAAAACGAAGCCAGCCAACAAAGGTTTTTCATGGTTTTTCTATCTCCCCATGATCTACTATGAATTATGGCAAGCCACCCACAATCCATGTACAGGTGGTAAACTAATTACACGTTACATAATTATATACATATCTATAGCCTTAGAAAGTACAGAGGTCTCATGTACCTCCAACGCTCGTTGTTGCTGCGCTTGCAGTGCCTAGGTGGGAGAGAGTGCCTCAGTGGATGCATGTCTCACAAGTTTGGCTGGGATCCTTCTTTCAGGCCTTGGGTTTTTGCAAGGGCCGTAGTGTTAAAGTTGCACCAAACTGCTCAAGCTTCCAGGACCACATGCTTGGATGCTCGCCGGTAGGTCTTGAAGAGCGTGCTTTGGCAGGGCATTTGTTGTTTTTTCTCACAAGCTCGTTGTACAAGATGTTCTTGACCCTTTGTTAAATCAATATGCTGCCACTGCCACATATAATGGGTGGGGCTTTCATGGGCTTTGTGGGGTCATTTGCTCACATCAAGGCTACCACATGCCCATCGACTTGCGATTAATAGTGCCCATTGTTCCGACTGGGCTTCCAGACAACCGCAGTCATCACAATGCCCGTTGCTTAGACCGTTGCTTCTAGATAGATGCCTGTGTGATTCATGCTGCTTGCTTTCGACCTTGCTTCAAACGCTTGCCCAAGGTACAGGAGCTGGATTCTGCCTCTGGAAGTGCGTATGCATCGTACCTTGTCCAGCTCAGACGTCCTGAGAGCAATTCAGACATGCTGTGACATCCAAGGAACGGAACAGGCAACAAGAGCGGCAACTCTTCAAATAACAGTGGGACTATGACTATGAACACTACCACCACTACCACCACGGAGGAACCCGATGATGCTGAGACCGCAACTTTGAGGTGTATCCAGGCTGTATCCAAGGTCTATGCCACAAGTACTGTGAGCACTGTGAGCAATTTTGCAACAAGAATGGCCTTGCAAAACGGAGTGTAATATGCAAAGAGAAACAGGATGACATAGAGATTCACAAACGAGCCGTTCCATTGTAGCGTTGACATTTGCAGTCTGTTTCAGACTTGCCCTGTGTCCTGAGGAACGTTCCTTTGGAGCACAACCGCTGGCTTTGCTGAGTGTGTGGATTGCATGGCAGGCAGCCGACCGTGGCTGTGCTGGGGACTCAGAGAGACAAGGCAGAGGCGCCGAAGTGACTTGCCAGGCCTTGCTTTGAGACCTTCCTGCTGGACAGCAGAGGCTAGCGCAGCTCGTACATTTGTGAACTGTCAATGCGTCGGACTTTATTGAAGTTCCGAGCCGTCTCGTGTTAACCACATCACAGCTTTAGTACTGAAGTTGATGGCACATACAGCCAGATGTTACTGTACTTTTAACTCTAGGCTTATAATGATACAGTGAATGAACTAAACTAGCATCTACCAGTTGCACTGAAACTGGTCTAAGTCCAAGGGTCCAAGACTATCAAAACTGGAGGTGAAAGTTCACACCATTTGATGGCTGGCGGTGTGTGGTGGGTGTTAAAAAGGCCACGTGAACAAATCAAGCATGCTTGGTGCAAAATGGCCAGAATGAACAGCACATTGCACCAACAAGTCATGCAGTTTTGGCCATTGCGGGAAATGACTGAGCCATGCTGCAGCAGGAGCACGGCGTGGCAATCCTGAAGGTTGCTCGTGTTTCCCACTATTGCTTAAGGAACGATGTTGCTCGAGAGGCCTCCTTAACTATTATGATGCACAAAGATGGTTGAACGGTTTTTGCATTTGGGAAGGCCTCCAAGGCATTCTGTGCCCTCAAGTGTCGAAGGCACTAGGGCCGCTGGAGCAAAAGCAACGCGTTGAATGTTTCTAGCGGAAACAATGTGGCGAATAAAGATCGCACACTTTCAGCCATCCTGGGTTGCAACTTTTGAAGCAGCGGGACTGTTTGTGGCGCGAGGCAAGCGTGGCTCATCTCCACATATTCATATGCTCAGAAAACCATCAAACAGCACCAAACAGCTGAGTGCTTGGAATGCGGGCTTTTTGGAAGAGTTTGCCCGCTGCCCGTTTGCTGGCCCGCACATTTTTTCGGCCCATTAGCTCTTGCCGATCGCCCAGGTCCATGGCAGGAGGATTTGAGAAAATCCTTTAACCGGCATAGTCTATTCAGCCCCGTGCGTTTCACTCTCTTTTGCAGAGAGGCTGAGGGAATCACCCAAGGCCTCAGCAGGCCATGGCCACCATATTTCGCTAGCTGCCCACAAAACAGCTCGAGGAGTGCACTTGTGAGCTGCTTGTTTGGGAGGTTTCCATTGGGCTTCTTGAGCCATCCGCCACGTATTTGCTCAACGCGTCAAGATCCTTCAAGAAGCCCCTAGACTTTGCTGCAAGCATGCCAAGTAAGGTTTGAAGTCCGCAGCAAGGCGCATATCGTGCGGGAGATGCTGCATGCCAAATATATATATATAGGCTGCCATGAAAACATGTTGAAGCAAAGACCGGTCGGTTGCCCTTGAAGCTAAAAGCACAATCGCATACGATTCAAGGCATTTTCCTTCCAATAGTTCTAGCAATCAATGTCAATTATGATTGCAGAGCCTTCATGTGGAGAACATTCACAAATGCCATTTGTGACCTGCAGACCTTTGGCCTCAAAGTCTTTGCAGACTATTCTTGCGCCAGTGTTGCACCTCATGGCTGCGCACGAACGACATTTTCGGGTGCCTGGTATGAAGCAGATTGGCACGGGAGGGTAGTTGTATAGGTAACATGAAATGAAAAGGTCATCCTCGGTCATACTGTACTTTAAACCTGACTTGAGGACATTGTTTCAGACGCGGGGAATGACTTGCATTCAACGGATTGATTTGCCTGACCTGCCTTTCAAGAGAAGTGTGTGCCACACCCCAGACTACAGCAGCACTGGAAAAATGAGTTTTCAGGAGCAAAAGGTCAAGCACTCTCCCCAGACCCCGGCCAGAGGGTGCACTAAAATGATGAAAAAAATATATATGTATATAATTGTTACTGTATATAGTACATTTGGAGCAAGCATGAAACTTATCCACTGTGCATAGTCTACCTCATTTGTCTTGGAAAGCCATGCCCTTTGTGGAATGATTGTTCAACTCCTGTGTCTCCGACTTCCTCTCTGCAGGCACTGCTGGCGGCTGCACTCTTGGCTGCATTGCACTGTCCGCTTGTTTGGTCAGCTGCTTCGATTCCCTTGGGTGCAGAAGGCCCAGTGGAGGGGAAACTCACATTGAATATTATGATTAATGTTTGCTCATGATATGATGTTTGTTTTCAATGTGCACCAGGCCAGTATCAGACTCCCCCTGCTAGGGGTTGTGGCATTTCTGTCAGAGGGAGCTGGATAATGTAGAGTTGAAAGTTGAAAGGTTACCTTTTCTTCTTCTCAGACGGACATGTATGTGACCTGTGCCTGTGCAGGAATCAAGATGGGTTCCTTGCGCTTCGACCCTCCTCAGCTGGATTTTCAAGATGACTTTTGAACTGCATGGTGGGGTGAAGTTCATGGGATGCTGAAAGGTGGGACATCCAAAAAATCATAAAAAAAGACCACCGGTGTACGCTATATCTATAAGCGCGCACACACAAGCTTACAGAGTCTCACACATTGCTACGTCATGACTATGCATGTGTATTTGCATGTATTTGTACTTCTGCACTGCACAAGCGCAAAAGAAACCTTGCTTGGAGTTTCTGCTTGAAATGCTTGAATTGGCAGTGACCTGACCACGGTGGACGCCTTGTAAGCCAGGATGTGTCAGTTGGGCACCTATGCCCCTTGCGGGGCGCAGCACGGAGCAGCACGAGTGTATGGCTATGGGAGGGTATTTTCCGACTGTAACATGCTTTACCCTTTAGCCGCTTTAGCCTGCCTTCATCCTCAGGAGTTCACATGTGTCGCTCACCATGAGAGGGTGAATATCTACTGTGACGGATGTCACGACTTCCTTAGCGTGGCACCTTGGCAGTTAAATGCTGTGTGTCTAGTTCTTTCCACCATGGTTCTTTGCCTGTCGATATGTTTGATGCTTGGCAGCTTTTCCCAAAGTGTTTGTAAGGAATCCGCCTCCTCAGATGTTGCGGACATCATACCAGCTCTCACTCCCCGGAGTGGAGTCAAGAAGAACAAGAAGGGCAAATCACCTGTGATTGCGCGCTCCTGAGTTCGATCGAATTCCAGCCATTCAATCTTGATCGAATCGGAGCACGCTCATCAAACGAATCTGGACACGTCGCTATAGTCTATGTGTTCTTGCCACGTCTCCCTTAACTTAAGAGAAACACATGCTATATATACATTAGATTAAACTAGATCTATTTCTATGTGCAATTGCATCCGATTGCGATGCTGCGCCGAGGCCATCCTGCACGTGATGTTTATAGCACAGCAGCCTGGTGAAGTACATGGGCGAATTGCTGTATCCACTACAGCAGGTGGGACATGCAGCTTTCCACCCACCGTGCCGGTTGAAACTGCACTGCTTCGTTTGGTTTTGCAGATACTGATTGTGGCCACAGCCCGAGGTGTCATCAACTACGAAGTGAAGGGGAACGCCACAGCGAATCAGTATCGCATTGACCCCGTGGTGCACTCAAAGGTTCCCCGGCAGCCCGCTGGCCCGCTCAGTTTCTGACTGGCCGTTTTGAACCTCTTGCCTGGTTTATGAGAAACTTGCACTGATTCACATGCTAAATACAAGCTCTTAACATGTTTCAAACATATGTTTTACGCCGGATAGGCACTTGACCAGCTTTTTACTGACATGCCCAGTTGCCACACAAGAAGCAGAATCCTTGTTTGCTGGGCCGAGGTGAGCGGAGGGGAGGTCATGCATCACCCCTTGTCAGTCTTCAATCCTTTCAACGAAGTCATGCAGATTAGCCAGGACGGCGTTTGTGTTGTTACTCAGATAGTGTTTCTTGTGCTTTTGTCTCTTGGCATTTCGGCAACAAAACTTCTGAGCGAACAGGTTTTCACGAATGACACCTTCATTCAGCTACTTGCACCTGGAGAATTTCGCCAGGCCTTTCCCACCACATCTTGTTCGATTTAATGATACTGGGCTTATACAATAACATAATGGACCTCAGCCATCTTGCGAGAATTGGAGCCCCAATGCCTGACAGGCGGGCCACAAGAGAACGCCAGCTGGCTCTGGCTCCCTGCTGCCTGAACGTGCTGGATCAGCAGCTTAGCAGAAGAATTGCACACCTTCCTCCCTGCACCTAACACTGTCACTCTCGAAATCACGAAAGCTAGCCTCAGCTAGCTGGAGTTGCTCTTGCTTTAGCAAGTTAAGTGACGGGGTGGACGCACCTCAGAAACCTCAAATAATTGATTAAATCAATCTTATGGACCCCCCCCCC